ATTTTGCTTTTTTATTTTTTTTTGTTAAAAAATATTAATGATCATTTACTGTTCATTGAAATCATTAGTTATATATTTTTATGTTATTTTCTAATTTTTCAACTTAAATTTTTTTGTTTGTGGTGAAGCTTACGCCTCAAAACGTTTTGAGGCTTATGCCTCGCCTCGCCTCGTGACAAAAAACGCTTTAGTACCCGTTTACGTTTTTTCAAACTATGCACCACAGTGGTGGTATATATAGTATCTATTGTAGATTATAATGTTCTTTAATTCGTTAACCATGAAGGAATTAATAATTGAATATTTGTTGATAAAGCTGATCATAATTACAGATCTAGCTTTCTATGAACTTAAGGTCTGTTTGATTGCAAGGGTGGAAAATGGGTGGAAAGAAAATGAATTCCAGGAAAAGTAATTGCCTAAAAATTGTTTTGCAATAAATTGTTAATTAAGTGTGTTTGATTGGTATAATTTTTCACCCGGAAAATTTTAAAATTTTCCACCCGGGGGTGGGTGGAATTTCTTTTCCATGGCAAAAAATGCTATCAAACAAGCACTTTTGTTGAAAATGGAAATTGTTTTCCAACTTCCTTTGTCAAACAATAAAAAAAAAAGGTGTTTTCGTTTATACTCTTGGTTTGTTTACAAATCTTATTTTGTATGGTTGTAAATTGAAAACCAAAACAAAACCTGAAGTTATCTGTTCAATGTCTTTTGTTATTCCATCCACTCCACTCCATGACATGTAAGATTATCACTAGAATATATATTGGGCTTCTGTCCAGGGTGCTGGAAGCTGATAAGGTAGGAGCAGAATGTAATTTTATATATTCTGCTTGTCTGAGACCCTTAAATATAGGGATTGTGTATACCGGACTTACATCACATTTCTTATGTTTTCTAGAGATAAAGGCGTTATAGACATCCAGTATAGTAGATCCCTCATGTTTGGCACACTGCATTAGACCATGTATTGATAAAACTTATTTAATTCGGTGTTTGGTGTAGAGATACCCTAATTAATTTATTTGAGCAATTTATGTTTTCTCAACGTAACTGGATACATTTAGCCACTGTTTGATGGCCATTATTTTGAGAAATGGGGTTTGAATAGTGATTTTTTGGTGGATAAAAAGTAAGGAAATGTTTTGGGTTTACGTGCAAAATATTTTATCGTGTAAATGTGTGGTTGAAAATGAGTATGAGAATTAAGGAGTTTTGAAATAATTGTTGTCAAACAAGGGCTTAATTCCAAGGTGGATAAGGATTAAGGTGGGTTATGTATACTTGTGGTTTGTGCATGTGAAGTTTATTAAACTTTACGTGATATTTTAACGATATGCTTTAATTTACCTTGACGCTGTCCACCATAATATTCTTCTAATACAATATGGTGTACAAAAAGCGTCACCTTTACCTTGATAGTTATCCACCCTAAAATTATTCTCCTAATACATTGTGATGTATCAAAAGTGCCCTTAAAAGTCTAATTTTGCAAATTAATTTACTACAGGTAGGAGACTCTATTTTGTCCTATTTGCATAAAGATTGTAACTTACAAATACGACATCCACTTTCAAGTTCTAGGTAGCTATTTTTATATTAACTTCGGAAGCTTTTATATAACATGGATTCCCTGTGTTCCAGATGTTATGCTCGTCTGCACCCTCGTGCTGTTAACTGCAGGAAGAAGAAGTGTGGACATAGCAATCAGGTATTTACTGGTACATAGATGTCGTATTATTAGTGATTTTAACCCCTTGAAGGGCTATGAACAAAAGTTTTTTCGTTCTCTTTGCAGTTGAGGCCAAAGAAGAAGATTAAGTAGACATTTTGTCAAGATTTATATTGTTGCAGCCTTTCTGCCTCGAATGATTCGGAACAGTTTAGGATTTTGCATTTTTTAATGCCCAAATGAAGCTTGTAGTGGAAGATATGAACCATTTATCAATTTGTTTTGTTTGGAATGACAAGAAATCTAAGACATTTTGTTACATAAAATGTTCCTCGTATTCTCGGTTTACAAGTGTTGCTAAATTCTATTGATAGCTGCCATGTTCTATTTAAAATCATGAATACTTGTGACTGTTATATGTGTCTAAATGGTCTTTTTAACTGTTGAGGTTACCTTGCAACAAGATTAAAACAATTAATTCGGTCAGAAATGCGACTGACCCGGACCTTTTGTTATGGCAAAGTTCATGTGCAAGAGATTCAATTTAGTAGATCGAGTTAGAAGAGAAAAGAGTAGATGTATAATAACAAGTTGATGGTGAGTGCAGGGAAGGATATAGACATTTTAATGATTGATTTCTAGTTTATTGAGTAATTTTGTTGCTTCCATTTGTTTGCCAATAGCCTAGCTAAAATTTCCTTGATAGTGTATAGCATATAAACATAAGAAACATCGAAGACCAAACAATTAGGGAGCTCAAGGTTACTTAAAATATAATCTAGGTTTAGGCTGATGTGGGATTATTGTGTTACGCTTAATAAAAGCTATAATCTCCTTGTAGGAGCATGTTCCTAGTTGACTACAGATATAAAATTAATCTTATATCATTAAATTTGTACTTGTCATTCTCGTGGAGAGGCTCAAGCTTACGTGTATTTGTATTATATGGAGTTCTGACTTTGAGCTTTAACATGTTCGCTTCTGATATATAGATCTGCTGGTCGAAATGTTTACCTTCATTTCAAGAAATATACTTCGCAGATTCAGAGAAACAAAGAAAAATCCAAGAATTAATGCCGAGTTATGGTAAAGGGAAACTGAAACAAGAAGAAAAAAATCCAGCAGAAAATACTTCAGGAAGTCGAATTTCAATAACTAGACTTTCATTATGCATTACAGGATTTGGTTTTCAACAAAACAAAATTTTTCCACCACAGGTCACTTTACAAATGAGGGAGTGAATCTTAACGACATTAATTTACTAAAGTTCCACCTAATAGTTCCTACACCGTTAAAAATCACTAATGTTGGCAGGGCGTAGAATTTGTGGGGGTCAAGGGATCTGCCCTTTCGGGGACCCCAATGACTAGTCCATCAATATCGACTGGAAGCAGCAATTTTTGCCAGAGACATCCGGTAGAAATTACATCCTGAGGCTGAACTATCATTACTACGTCATTGTTCCTATGCAGTAGACCAAGCACGCTCACAGAGCTGCCTTCCTTTATGTATCTGTCAAAATGCAAGCAAATAATAGGTTGTAAGCTCGTCTCTAAGAGAGAAAATGGTGCAAGTTTGAGTTAAGTTTTACCCTTCTTCTAGACGCAGTACACGAGCTTCAGCAGGGAGGTTTCTATCTCTCAACCATTTCCTCAAGTGAGAAGATAAGACTCTGCATTTTTGGGTTGTTTTGACAAGTTTGCTCTCAATGATCAATGGAAAAACTTTACAATCAGGACCAGCTTTCACTAGGGCCCTGATGCCGGACTTACTGTCAGTTACGTAGAAATCAGTTGAAAATCTCTGCCAAGAGAAAATCCTATGACATCAGCAAACAACTTTTTCAACATACTAGGTTCCATATATTAAAATGTCGTGTATTTGTTACGATTACAAGCTTTAGGATCAAAGAGCACAGGTATTCTAGAATGTTCTGATGTTATATCCAACACATGAAAATATGATAATATTTCACGAGATAGCTAAAACCTCAATCCTCGTCAAAACCAATATGCACAGTTGGTTAATGCATGAGACTTGACGGAAATTTGAATGATTAATAAAGGAAGAGAAATGTTTGTGAAAATACACTACACTAGTAAAAATAAAAAGATGTCGATTAGAGGTTTTCACATATGGGAAGGATTGCAAAATGCAATGCGGGATTACACAGTGCTACTCCATGAAACAAGCTGGTGATTAGTATGCATTGAAGCTTCTTAACAAAATTGCTTTCTATTAGCTAATCTTCTTCCCAGTCATATCTAGAGAACCTTAATCATGAATGAGAGACCATTGAGAAAGACCGACAGAAGCACACAAAGTTAAAGGATACGAGCTGTAATTTACTTTTAAGAATGAGTGCCTTATACCTTAATAATACTCATCCCAACAATTTCAATTAAAATGAGGCATCCATGGGATATGTCTGTCTGATCTGAAGAGTCAAAAATACAAGTCTCAAGTGGAAAAACACCTACTTTGGTAAAATTCAATAAATATGGTACCATGGAAGCCTTATGTTGATTTAGAATATGCAGAATGAACAAAAATGCCATACGAATGGAGCTTTTTCCAACTTGAACATCGCCACGGAGAGGGAAGAAAGGCATAGAATCGAGACCAAAGGAGGGCAGACATGAAGGCATTAGATACTAAGTCAGAGCTACTGTGCTAGTAAAAAATCTGATTCCGAAGAAAGATTTTTCATTAACATATTTTTTCGGGAATTTTAATCAAGATTAGAATAGATGAACTAGGCAATTCAATAAATGATGAAACACAGCAGGAGAAAGAGAATTTCACATACCTCGGCATATGCTAGTCTCCAGTTAAAGCACGAGTTCCTTACATCAGAGGGCCTCAAACCAGGCTCTCCAAACTCATACAACAAGGTAGATGAGTAAACGCATGGGGAAACTTTCTCATATGAAGATTCCAAGGAGACACTCCCACAGGAGACAAGCTGAATCAAAAACAAATAAAACAATTAAATAAATGGCATTCACATCCAATGAAGACAATTGCAAAACAAGTGTGTTTTTTTTATTTTTTTGGCCATACCAATTTTTGTTGATTCAAACAGAAAAATAAAAAAGGGCTAGAACATCATAAAAGTACACGCAAAGCATCTTCTGAAGTGTTGTCTATCTATATAACTTAAAGCTTTAAAAAAAACCTATCCAAGAATCTTACAAGTTGCTTTAGAATATTAAGCCTCCGTTTGGCAAAATTTATAAATCCCTACAATATAAAAAGAGA